ACTAGTGTACTTTGTCACAGTAAACTAGTTTACATTTTCTAGAATCTTATATAAATGGACTCATACTATGTGTACCTTTTTATTTGGCATCTTTCATTCAACATGATTTTGAGATTTATCCATTTTGATAAGCATATCAGTAGTTTGTTTCTTTATATTGTGGAGTAGTATTCTATTGTATGCAGAATTTATTATAGAGCACCACATTTGCTTATCCATTTACCTGTTAATGGGCATTGGGTTGTCCTTTGGATTAATCCAATGACACTAAGATTGTCTCCTTTATTTTGTTTTAGAAGTTTTCAGGTGCTGGCTCTTACATTTAGGCCTATGATATGAGGTAAAAGCTGAGGTTCATATTTTTGCATATGACTGTTCAGCTGTTCCAGCAACATTTGTTGAAAAAATTATTCTTTCCCTGTAGAACTGCCTTGACACCATTATCAAAACACAATTGGATATACATGAATTGTTCTATTTCTGGATTCCATTCTGGTCTTTGATATATTCAATACATATATACATATTGATATATATATATATATATATATATACACACACACACACCATATATACATACATACATATACAAAAATCTACATTGATACATATCTTTCCACCAGCATTACAATCTTGATTATTTTAACCTTCTAAAAAGTTTCAAAGTCAAGTAGTTTAAGATTTTTAGCTTTGTTCTCCATTTCCAAAAATCATTTTGGATAGTCTAATTCTCTTGCATTTTCATATACATTTTAGACTCAGATTTGTAAATTTATACAAAAAATAAATCTTGCTGGAATTTAGATTGGGATTGGGTTGAATGTACAGCTCAGTTAGGGAAAACTGGTGTCCTAACAATACTAAATCCTACAATCCATGAGTATAGTATCTCTCTCCATTTGTTTTGGTCTTCTTTAATTTCTCTCAGCAGTGTTTTATAGTTTTCAGTATACCGGTCTTGCACAGTCTTGTGTTATTTAAAGTGTCATATTTTTAATGTAATGGTGTCTTAGCTTGGGTTGCTGTAACTCAATATCATAAACTGGGCAGCCTGTCAATGACAGAAATTTATTTCCTATAGTTCTGGAGGTTAGGAGTGCACCCATCCCAATCCCATGGAGTGCTCCACCTCCATGACCTCATTACCACCCGAAGGCCCCACTCCAAATAGTATCAAATGGGGAGAGAGGGAGATACAAACATTCAGTCCTTAACAAATAGTAAATGACATATTTTAATTTATTTTTCTGGTTGTTCATTGATAGTATATAGAAATAAAATTGATGTTGAAATATTGATCTTGTATCCTGCAACCTTGCTACATTCATTTATGAGTTTTTGAAACCATTCAATAGATTATTCAAAATTTTTTCCATAGTCAAGTCACCTGTTAATAAGATAGTTTTATTTTTCCTTTCATATCAATATGATATGCTTTCCCTTTTGTTATGGCAAAGACCTACAGAAAAAACTGTTAAATAGACAAGTGGTGAGGAGGCACATCCTTGTTTGTTTCCCATTTTTTTCACCATTGATTATAATGTTAGTTGTGGGTTTTTCACAGATGCCCTTTATCAAGCTGAACAAATTTTCAGCTATTTCTAATTTATTGACAGATTTTATTTTAACTTTGCTTGATGTTATATTTTATTTATTTTTTTTTTAATTTTTTTTTTTTTTTTTTTTTTAGAGGCATGTTTTTCTTTATTTGTTTGCTTGTTTGTTTGTTTTTGTTTATACAAGCACTGGGTACAGTCAGAAGCACAGGAGGGTGAGAGAATTCACCAGAGCCAGAGCGGGGAGCAGAGCAGGCAGAAGGACCGAAGTACACTGCTGAGGGGAGCAGCGGGCGGCAGGAGAGGTCTGCGCGCCATGTGGGACCCTCCTCCGGTGGCCGGGGAGCAGCCGGGGATTGAACCGGCGCCGCAGAGGCCGCGGGCAGCTTCGCAACCCAGCGCTCTACCGCTGCGCCACCAGGGAGGCCCTGATGTTATATTTTAACAGATTTTTTCTTGTATTTTTATGGTTTTTCTTTTAATTCTTCATTGTGGTGAGGTAATAGCTTATTTTTCAGTGTAAAATAAACCTTGCATTCCTGCTGTAAACTCTACTTCATATGTATTAACTGCTGTTAATCCCATCCCATCCCATCTATTTTTCCTCTCAACATTGTATTTTTCATTTCTAAGATTTGGTTGGGTATTTTTGTCTTCCATTTTCCCTCTTCTCATGCTCATGCTTTCTTCTACTTTCTTGAGCATATGGGGTATGTTTATGATAGCTGTTTCAATGTCCTTGTCTACTAATCTTGTCATTTGTCATAATTTGTGTGACAAATTATGTCATTTCTGGGTCTGCCTTGTTGATGGTATTTTCTCCTTCCTATGAGCTGCATTTGCCTTCTCCTTTGCCATTTTTGATTAAGAGCCAGATACAGTGAATTTTACCTTTTGGGTTCTGTCATTCTTGTTGTTTGTTTAGTCAGTTGGTCGGTTGCTATAACAGTCCTTTAAATATTTTTTACTTTGTTCTGGAACTCAGGTAAGTAACTTGAAAATGGTTTGATCCATAAGATTTGCTTTTATGCTTTTAAAGGTAGGTTCAGAACAGCCAGTTTTCTGACTGAACAGTGTACGGTTAATATCATCCACCCACCTGAGGACTCTGCTTCATGCCTTATGTGCTAGGAGGTTTTACCATTCTGACTACTAACAAGCGGTGTCAACTTGGGGGATTTTTTTTCTCCTGCTTCTTTCTGGAGATTCTTTTCCTGGTTTTCATCATATTCTCATATGCATGAGCTAATCAGGACTAAGCTACAGACTGGAGGAGACCCTTCTGCAGATTTAGTGCTCTCTTTTTATGCAACTGTCTGCTCTCCAGCAATCTGTCATGTGTATTTTAGTCATTGGCTTCACAGAAATCTCATCTCTTCAACTCAGTGAGGCCACCAGGCCTCTTTTGTGTTCTCAGTGCTGACAGCTCTCTTCAGGCATGGAGCTGGGGCACTGGTAAAGCTAATCAAATGAGATGCTTTCTTCACTCAAGGATCACAGTCCTGTACTACCTATTGTTTATGTCAGGAAACTACTGTCTGACACACTTGTCCTATTTTCCGGTTGCTTAAGGAAAGAAGTAGGAATTCTATCTTTGTTCTTGAGAAGTTATTTGATAGTTGCTCACACATGTTGAAGAGTTAATATTGCTGTAATATCTACAAACTAAACAACAGGTAGGAGTTTAAATCCAGGTTAGGAGAGAATGAAAAGGAGTTGCACTAATCTCAGCAGGCAGTTACCACGAAATGGACTATAGATGTCCTGTCTACCTGAGGTGTGTTATTTATTTACTTTTATTTTAATTTTATCCAAATTATCTTTATTGAGGTAAAGTTGGTTTACATCATTGTATCTACTTTGGGGATTATAAGTGAAACCTCTACAAATGGAGATTTTCACACTCTGCCCACCATCAGTACCCCATAATCTCCACCATGTTTCGTTGGGTCCCACCCTTCCCCCGACTCCCACTCCACCAAACTTCTCTTCTGGTTGCCACAATTCTGAAGCCAAATGTCAAGAATTTATTATTGATTTGGTTTTAACTGACCCTTTGTTAGGTTTCTCTATATTCCACATATAAGTGAGACCACCTGGTATTTGTGTTTCTCCTTATTTTACTTAGTATTATCGTCTCCATTTCCATCCATTGTGTGTGTGTATACACACACACATTTTTCGAACCCAATCCTCTGTCTTTTCCCATAATTTAGCTACTGTAAATAGGACTGAAAAAAATATATATATATACACAGATCTATGCATGTATATGCATATACATCCACACACATATATGGGAATGCATGGATACACAGGTTATCATAGATATATTTCTGGGCTCTCAATTCTATTGGTTTGTGTGTCTGTTTTTTGTTCCAGTACCATTCTGGCTTGGTTTCTATAGCTTTGTAGTATCATTTGAAATCTGGGAGTATGATACTGCCCTCCTTTTTTTGGGGGGGGGGGTTGGGATTGCTTTGGTTATTTGATGTCTTGAGATTTCATGTAAATTTCAGTATTGTTTTTTTCTATTTGAGGAATGCCAAATTTGAGGAGGCTTGAATCTATATATTGTTTTGGGTAGGAGGACCATTTTAACAATGTTTGTTACTCCAATCCATGAGCAGGGAATATCTTTCCTTTTTTGTGTGTGTTCTTCCAACATGTCCTCACTACTCTCACCTTTCCTATTCATTCTCAATCTCCTTCTTCTATTTGGTTATTTCATCTGTACCCTGTAGCTCTGTGGGCTAAAAAGCCAACACCAGTCTAACCAATCAGAGAGGCATTTTCCTTCTGGCTAAACCTGTCCTCCTTCTAGATGGCAGCTGGTGGGCCAGAGCACATGGTCTGTGAGGTTCAGTTTTGCCTGTCCCCTGCAGTCTGGTCTTTATAATGTTACCGCCTCATCTGGGTTGCTCAGGGCTTTCCTGGTTTTGGCATTGAAAGTCCTCCATTCTGAAAAACCCCGTAGTCCCAGATAGTGGGATTAATTAATCCCATTATCCCACTCTAATCTGGGTGCCAATACATGAATTTTTGTTCCCAAAAGCAGTTCTCAAGCCCATTCAAGGTTCAGGTCCATTTGAGTACCAAGGGTGGAAGCAGCAAGTTACCAGGTGACTGAAGGCTTACCGTGCTGCAGCTTATTATCAAATCTTTAGGCAGTTAAATTTCCATAGTTTATTTTAAATAGTAAAATTTTCATGTTCTGAGACAGTAAATGTGCCAGAGTCAAAAACACACATAGAGTAGCATATGTTTGCCTAAGGCAAATAAAATGAGATTCTGTAACTGCTTGGCTTAGTTCTCAAGTAGTATGGAAAGCTAATTTTAAAGTGTGCGTTATTATTATTTGTGCAGGCTTTGGTACAAATTAAAAAAAATACAAAGAATAACAATGTGTATTTTATATTTGAAAAAGACACCACTCACCTACCACTAGCAAAACATGTGTTCTGAGTTGACTTTCCTGTCCAGAGATGGACCTGGTGTTCTAGCTACATTCCTTCGAGCCCCACTGGACCAAGTAGCCTTTGGACTCTCAGTAGTCATCTTGTAACCACAAAGAGAGCCAGACTTGAGGCTGATGCTGCAGAAAATAGAATGGAAAAACTTGTTTTAAAAGGGACTGGGGAGGTTGATGACATTGTCAAACCTCTGGATTAAACAAGGTGTGATGTCTCCATTCTCAGTTTTCTATCTATCATGATGTTTGAGTGGTATAATAGGAAAAGATCAATATCTCTGAGGTAAGCTCAGAGTCAGATAATAGTGAACGACAGCATCAAAGTAACTATGTGATTCTTACATATAAGTAAGAGAATTTGCAATCACTAACCCTGCCCTGTTGGGGCACATCACTCTCAGTTTTCTCCTTTATATGATAGTTCTTTGTGTGCTTGCCCAATCTTTTCCTCAGAGTATAAATTCTCATAAGATGAGGCTTCGTCTGCACTCACTTCTGACACCCCTGGCCTCAGGGGTGAGTCTGGCCTCAAGGGTGAGTGGCTCAAATAGAGTTGAAGGAGCATCTGGACTTCTAGGGACAGAACCTGCTCTTGTGACTGGCAGTGGGACACCCCAGAGCTTTTGCCAAGCACAAGCCCCACCCCTACTATTCCACGGATTGCCATGCAGCTCACACCCCAGAATAGGCTCAGGAGAAAACCACCTTCCCTTTTCCTGCCCTCTGAGTGATCCCTCATACCTGTGCTGACCACATTTCCAGAAGCAGAAATCAGGATATCGCAATGAAAAGGTGGTTACTCTTGGGGAAATCAGTGTGGACTATTTGAAGTTGACACATTCCTGGTCACCAAGAAGGGTTATGCCCATTACTCAGATGCTCAGAGCAGTTGGTCTACTTACAACTGAGGAACTCTGAGAAGGGAGCGTGCACCCCCAGCCCAATCCCAGGCCTGGACCCTTGCTCTGATTTGCCTCTGGCAAAATTTGCTGTGCGGTCCTTGAGCCTGCCATGCCATGCCCTGGCTCTCCAGAGGGGTCTCTGACATTTTCTCTTGTTTTTCCAACTGCAAGCCCGACTTAACCCTACAAAATAAGGGATATCTCTTCTCACAGATGAAAATCTACTGAGAAAAACACACTTGATTTCATGTAGAGAAAACAGATCCTTGTGTTGAGAACAGAGATGAAGAGAAAGGAGTGGCAAGGAGCACCGTGAGCCTTTAGCCCCCTGGAGGTGGGACCCGCCGTCTGGGGTGTGATGCCAGGTAATATCTGGGGGCATCCCAGGACTTCCCAGAGGCAGGATATGTCACATCTGGTGCTAGTATCGCAGGTATTGCCCATAGGCACCACCACTGCCCCCTGGCTGGAAGCTCAGAGTCTCCTGGCCAGTCTTACCAGGAGCTTCCTCATGATTTTCTCCTCACATTGAAGTCATGGATGGGCATGTCTAGTTGGTGAAGTCTAAGTCACATACTGATCCTGCCAAGAAAATTGAGCAATTCTGATTTCTACTTTGGAGAGGCAGAACTCATAACCTGGGACTCTCCTCAATGTCAAATGTTTGCAAAATGTGCCAGGGCAAATGTGCCACACCAACATTATTCATGATAGCCCCATACTAGAAGCAACCAAAAATACCTCTCAATATTAGGACAGATAGCTCAATTGTGACATATTCATACAATGGAATAGTGTACAGCAATGAAATGAAGAACAGCTATAGGAAACAACATGGATGCATTTTACAAACATGATGTGGAAAGAAGTTCAACACTGAAAAATAGGTAGTATATGATACCATTTACATGAAATTGAAGAGTAGGCAAAACTGGTATATGGTGAGAAAAATCAAGGGAGTGGTAACCTTTGGAGAACTACTAATTGGAAGTGGATATGACAGAGCCTTCTAGAGTATAGGAAATTTTCTGAATCATGATGTGGTTGCTGGTTGCACAGTTTCCAAAAACACAATTATGAAAAGATATGTGCACTCCTATGTTCATTGCAGCACTATTTACAGTAGTTAGCTTATGGAAACGACCTAAGTGCCCATCAAAAAATATGTAGATAAAGAAGATGTATTAAAAAGAGATGAAATCTTGCCATTTGCAACAATAAAGATGGAATTGGAGGGGCTTATGCTAAGCAAAATAAGTCAGGAGAATGACAAGTATCCAATGACCTCACTCGTGTGGAATATAAAGAAACAAAACAAAGGAACAGACAAAAAACGAAACCAAACATACCCTAGAATTCTGACTGTGAAATTGAGGCTCCCTAATGGGGAGAGTGGAGGGGGAGGATGGGGCGGGGAATAATGGGCTATGGGGAGTGTTATGGGTGCTTTGGTGGTAGGTATGGTAACATACACCTGAAGATGTGTGAACATAGTCCCCTAGAGCATATACAGTGTTGTAAACCAATGTAACCTCTAAAAAAAAAAAAACCTATGTGCTTATAGTGGGTATATTTTTCTGTACATGTGTTATATTTCAATAAAAGCTTACTTACAAACATGCAGGGCCGCTACATAAGTGATAAATCTCACCAATTGTCCTGTTGCCGTTCTGTTAAGTATCAAGCAAATGAATGAATCATTGTGTTTGTATCCATATGCTGCTCAAAACCTTATAGGTGGAGAATAACACCTAAGCTCCTTAAACTGCCAGGCAAGAGTTTTTCCAATCAGGCCTCAACCCTGGGTTCAGCCTGGGTTGAACTCATCTAAACTCTCTGGTTGGCCCTTTCTCACCTGGAAAGCCCCACTCCTTGGTAACCCCAATCCTTTCTGCAGGGTCAATTGAAATCTGCCTTCTCCCTAAGGCCTCCTAGCCTGAGCCAAAAGTTCCCTCAACCTCTGAACTCCTGTTGTAATTAGGATTGATAAAAATGTACCTGTAGGTCCCTTTTGTATTCCAAGCAACATCTCTTAAAATATGAATCAACTATTTTGTGGTCTGTAACTTTCATGTATTTATATTTATCACAGGTTAGATTATGGAGTCTTTGAAGATCTATCATGGCTGATTCATTTATTTTCTTCACAAGGTGTTGCATAGGGCCTGGTCCAGGTTGACTTTCTTTGGTAACTTTTAGACTCATGGATTCTGGGGGTAAAAAAACTCATGTTCAAGGTTCAAAGTTCAACTCCTAACTCTGCCACTTGCTGGCTATGAGTCAATGGAATTAATTGCTCAAGATCTCAGACTTCCTTGAAAAGGTCATTAACAATAATTTACATATGCTTAGTCTGCAGACTAAGTGCACCATGCATGTTAGCTGTATTATTAAATATTGTTAAATTTAAAAAGATTTGAATATTTAATAATATCCTTTTTGTTCTTGTTTTTCACTCTAGAATTCTAGTAGTTCCAGAACATAAAGAGAAGGACTTTGAGGAGGAGCTTTGCCAGGGAAAGATTGAATCACGGAAGGGCCTCCCCGGTGGCGCAGCAGTTGAGCGCTGGGTTGCAAAGCTGCCTGCAGCCTCTGTAGTGCCAATTCGATCCCCAGCTGCTCCCCGGCCACCAGAAGAGGGTCCCGCATGGCACAGCAGACCTCTCCTGCCGCCCGCTGCTCCCCTCAGCAGTGTATTTCGTCAGTCTGCCTGTTCTGTTCCCCGCTCTGGCTCTGGTGAATTCTCTCACCCTCCCGCGCTTCTGACTGTACCCAGTGCTTGTATAAATAAATAAATAAATAAATAAATCTTTAAAAAAAAAAAAAGTTTGAAAAAAAAAAAGATTGAATCAAGGAAGAGGAAGCTAATAAGTTCATGTTCAGAACTATCCTGTGGACTCTAGGCCCTACATTGAGCAGTGTTATTAATCTGACCCTGCCTGTCACCTTTTAGAATGTATGTAGGAATTCAATTGTCCAAATAATATTAGAATTTGTGGGGGCTGGCTTACTTTAGGTTTTAATTTTTGCCAGGTTTAGATGTCATGCATCCACAGCTGCACAAAAGTTACAAGTCTCTTTTGATAGAGAGATATATCACCATTAAAGCCATTTTTTAAAAAGATTCATGGACATAATCCTGTTTTTAGCTGAGACCACAGCATATGTAATTTTAGTTGAAGAAGGCAAGCCTGAATGAGACCCAGTAAGGACCTGGGGAGCAAAAGCAAGGTTGAGAAGTTCCCTAATGTTATTCACTAATGTTGAATAAGAAGGCACATCTGAGATAGTGCTTTTGTCTACAATAACGAGGGATGATCATGATGTGATAATTCATAATCTCAGTCCCAGATTTTAACATCAAACAAAAGGTTCAAATCCTGCACTGCCATTCATCAAGGTTTCAGGCAACACTATGAGCTGATACCTGAGAACCCATCAGCATTGTGTCTACTCATTCCCACACCTGTAACAGGGATGATGACAATGATAATGACATATGGTTATCATATGGATTAACATATGGAACATTTTAGCACAGTGCTGGGAAAATACTATGTATTCATTAGTTAGCTATTATTCATCTATCCACGTAATTCTGCCCTATTATTCCCTGGTCTTAACCAAAATGCCAAGAAACCAGCAGAAGTTCAATTATATCTTAACAGCCTCCTTCCTTTGATCAATCTCCAGTCATTGCCACCCTTATTATTTCTAACAACGTTTATGGTAGTGTACAATAAAGCATTTCCTCTGGGATAGACTCATTAAGACTTCCGAGGTTGGGGACAGGCTCAGTTTCCTGGGAAAGACCATCTGGCATTGCCCCAGGCTGTACTTTGGAGCCTGGCAGTTGGCACAGGAGTTTCATTTTCTCTTGTAGGATTCAATAGTCATATTTCATTCAAATTACAGCTCTGGTCTCCTTGAGTGCTGGCATCAAATATGAAAATTAGCCCTGAAATGCACATTCATTTTATAAAATTGTGGCCTCTATGTAGTAGCAATCTGTAGTGTGAACCAACAAAAAAGCCTCAAAAATCCTTAGGCCCTAGACTGGTAAAAGAAATAACTTTAGAATACTCGAGCCTGTGAGTTTTTATACTGTGTTGCTTATGTGTTTTCATTTACTTTTATTTGCCTTTGCTTGCATACGTTGTGTGAAGTTACTGTCAATGCGTTTATTTATATGACTCTTCTGGTGTTGTGGTTGTTGATATCTATCACTGTGATCATTATTTATGACAAAATTAGCTCTTGTTGGTAAGCATAGCAGGCTTTCACTCAGAGTACATCTATATTTATGTTATTTTAATCTCAAATACAAATTGGCACAGGCCATAATTGGAGGAGAGAACAAGGAAGCTAGGTTATAGATTGGGAACAGGAACTATCCCTGGAGATACTTTAAACCTTATTTTTTAATAGCATCAGAAAATTGAAAAATTGTACCAACTCTGAAGATAACCCCACCCCTGATTTTTTATGCCATTTTGGAAGTTAAAAGCTGAATTTCAACTCATGATCTCTTGGTTACATTCCATGTGTCATTACTGTAATTTGTCAGATTACTGTGGTAATAAAATTGAAGGATCACAGAAACTTTAAAAATGTACTCAGTTGTCTTAATGATTATGATTAATGTTGAAATTGCTTTGAAATTAAGATGCAGAATAAACTATACTTGTGCAAATTTACACAAAATGGACTTCAGTGTATTTGAAGAGTTTTGCTGACTAGAATTAATACAATTGAAGAGATATTGAGACAGTACACAAAATTCTTAATTTCTAATCATTGAGATCCCACTGAAACGTTATTACTAATTTTGCTATGTGGCATAGTAACAGTATCCTTTGAGCATTTTCCATTCCAGATCATTGCAATGGACAAGAAAAGGAAACTATTATTTTTCAAAGTCCTTTATCAAAAGATCTTCTCTGATTAACTCTGGGCTGGTCCCACAGGAAGCAGCAACACCTCTCCTGAGCCACATGCAGTTCCTTCAGTGGCACCATGGTAAGCTCATCCTGAAGAGCCATGGCACACTGGGTATTCCTATTAGAAGAACTGGCAGGATGCTGTTCTGGCAGTGGAATGAAACAATAGCACATCCCTATATTTGCGCCAGGCTTTTATTTTTAAAATGCAAAAATGTGCCTATATGTTATCCAGCAGTAATGGCATTCAGGAAGTCATTTAGACCATGGTCTTTAAAACATTTGGTTTATAAAGAGTTTCATTGGTCCTCTTCGAAATGTAGTTAGCTTGTGGTGCCATTGCCTTTATTAAAAAGTAAAGGGGGCCTCCCCGGTGGTGCAGCGGGTTGAGCGCCACCTTGTGAAGCTGTCCACAGCCTCTGCAGCGCCAGAGAGAAACCACATGGCGTGGCAGACCTCCTGCCTCGCCTGCTGCTCCCCTCAGCAGTCTCTTTGGTCGGTCTGCCTGTTCTGCTCCCCGCTCTGTCTCTGGTGAATTCTCTCACCCTCCTGTGCCTCTGACTATACCCCAGTTCTTTTTTTTTTTTTTTTAATTTTTTTTTTAATAGAGGCATGCTTTATATATTTATTTGTTTGTTTGTTTGTTTGTTTATACATGCACTGGGTACAGTCAGAAGCGCGGGAGGGCTAGAGAATTCACCAGAGCCAGAGCGGGGAGCAGAACAGGCAGAAGGACCGAAGTACACTGCTGAGGGGAGCAGCCGGCGGCAGGAGAGGTCTGCGCGCCATGTGGGACCCTCCTCCGGTGGGTGGCCGGGGAGCAGCCGGGGATCGAACCGGCGCTGCAGAGGCCGCGGGCAGCCTCGCAACCCAGCGCTCAACCGCTGCGCCACCGGGGAGGCCCTATACCCCAGTTCTTGTATAAATAAAAGAAAAATACCGGATGGTCTCACTCATAGCAGGAATTTAGAAAACCTAAATAGGAGACCAGGAAAAAGACTAATCAATACAAAGTAAAAATCAAAATCAACAAGCAACTATAAACCAGAGACACACTATGGGGAGGGTGAGGGAGGGAGGGAGGGGCGGAGAAAGGAAGGATTAGAGTCAAAATAAGGGGGGGGGTGCAATTGCATGGGGAATATAACCAAAATGAAAATGAATACATTGTGCAAAGATGAAAAAAGATGTAAGAATTATATAAAATAAAATATTTAAATTAAAAAAAATAAATAATAAATAAATAATCCTGTTTATCAAGGAAAAAAAATAAATCTTTAAAAAAAAGTAAAGGTCTGTCCTTTACTCCAAAAAATTTCCCCTTTTTATTTTAGGAATTATAATATACTTTTCATATAAAATGATAGTGACTGTAGATATTAGGTTAATAAAAATACTATTCTCAAAATGAAAAACTGACAACCCAAATTGTCCTTTCCTCTCTAACGTACGTCCCTTAAAAAGAATATCTGTATCCACTGATTGTGCTTTTCACAAGCTACACTGTATCCAAGTAACTTTGGGTATTTAAGAACCTTTGTATATCTACCCAACGGAATACTATTCAGCTTTAAAAAAAATTAAGGTGAACCCTTGCCATTCGTGACACCATGGGTGGAACTGAAGGTATAATGCAAAACTGAAGATATATAGCAAAATAGTCAGAAGGAGAAAGATAAAAATCAAATTTCATATATCACTCATATATGAAATAGAGGGAAACAAAACAAAGGGTAAGACAAAACCAAATAAACCCTCGACATACGACTGAAAAACTGAGGCAACCAGAGGGGTGGTGGGGTGGAGGGAAATGAGGCAGGGGGCCCAGTGGAACATGGTCAAAGGTTATTGGGGCTTTGGTGGTGAGCATGGTATTAAAACATACATTGGTAGAGGTGTCAACCTCTACCCCCTAAAACAAATACAGTCTTGTTAACCAACATTACCAGCATTAAAAAAAAAAAATCTTAAAAAATTAAACAAATAAAAACCTCTTATGTTGGCCAAAAAAAAAAAAAGAAAAGAAAAGAAGTTTGTATGTACAGGAACCACGTTTCACTTCTCTTTGTGTTTTGCTTCCCTTACAGCACCTGGCACTTTGCATACAGTGGATGCTTCATATTTGTTAACTGTGAAGCAACCTCCATTTGCTATGAAAACATCACCAAGGAGAATAGATGACAGCCTTTATTTAATGGTCGCAGAATATTCTGAGATGTGGTTTTAACAGTGACACAGAATGAAAGGGCTGAGGAGGGACTAGGTGGATTCTGGTTTGTCACTTTCCCACAAGCCTCTTAAGTTTTTGGTAGCTTCTCTTCTTTGCCCCCTTAGCTTTGCTATCCATGGGCTTGTTTGTATCAGATATGGGTGTAGTGGGAACTCTTTGCCTAGCACTCTGTTTTGACCCACTCCAAGCTCCTCTCTGGATCCCAACGTACGATTCTCAGGAAGCCAATTACAGTGTCCCCCCAACCCCTCACAATAAGGAGCATGGGGCCAGCAGCCACTCTCTTCTCTGTGTATAAAAGCCCCCATGAAGTTAGATCCTGAGGGAGTAAGCCACCAGAGTCAAGACTAATGGGTAACATTTTTTTGCCCCCACTATATACCAGACACTGTTGCAAAGACTTCCACTCATGAACCCTGGGACTCAGGTACTATTAATGCTGTATTCATTTGTCTAGAGGGAAAACTGACACACAGCTAAAAATAACAGCTAATAGTGAACCCTGGCAGTCTGGGAGGAGCCTATAGTCTTAGCCACCTCATTACACCTACCTTTCAAGATAGACGGACAGAAGATAGGGTAAGTTCTATCAAAGCTTCCCTAGATGCACTCTCATCCTTCCCAGTTACATGAGCTAATAAATCTCCTTTTTGTCCAATGAGTTGTTATCCTCAGGTCAGCAGTCAGGATCGTAGAAAGTTAGAACTCTCTGGAGTATGAGAGGTATATGCCCCATCCTTTCAAGATGAGAAAACCGAGATCCATGATTCACACAAAGTTTCATGCTCCTAATATCTCTGTAACCTCATATCCCACTGCTTCCTCTAATAGAGCTTCTGACATCTTTACCCCACACACTCTGACAACCCTGCTCTCATGTAAAAGCTCTCCTTTGGCTGCTTGAACATACACCATTCATCCAACTCCATCTCTTCTGTGAAGCTTTGCCAAGCCCTCTAGTCCACAGTTCTCTCTCTTTCCTCTTGCTCTCCCTAGCTGTTTCTATAAACCAACTGTATTCAGTCTGTTTTAATTATCAACTACTACTTAGTGATGATATTTAACTCTGACCTCAACTTAATTCATGCACCTTATCCTCTTGCCAATCCTGACTAAGTTCTTTGAAGAGCATTCTCTTTATTTTTCTTCTGTAGTTCCCAAAGCAGCGAGCTCCAGTATCTTATACACAATTTATGTGTATGGGGTGACCCTTTACTCTGCTGTTATTTTTTTTTTTTTTAATAGAGGCGTGTTTTTATTTATTTATTATATTTGTTTGTTTGTTTTGTTTATACATGCACTGGGTACAGTCAGAAGCACGGGAGGGTGAGAGAATTCACCAGAGCCAGAGTGGGGAGCAGAGCAGGCAGAAGGACTGAAGTACACTGCTGAGGGGAGCAGCGGGTGGCAGGACAGGTCTGCGCACCATGTGGGATCCTCCTCCGGTGGCTGGGGAGCAGCCGGGGATCGAACCGGCGCCGCAGAGGCCACAGGCAGCTTCGCAACCCAGCGCTCAACCGCTGCGCCACCGGGGAGGCCCTACTCTGCTGTTATTGTCTCTTTCCCACATCAGTTGCCTCCTCATCGTCTTCTCCATCTAGCACAGTCTTGCTCCACTCCAGGTCTGATGATGCTCAGATCTTCCAGCCTCAGGAACAAGAGAAAGGAAAAAAAAACAAAAAAACCAGGCACTAGGCAGCCCTATGACAGATGCATCACCATTTGGAAACTTGCTATTCTCTCCATGCAAACTGGATCAATGCACAACCCAGATATGTCACTGTAAATCTCTACTGAAGGAGCAGCTCCATGTCATCAGTGATACAGTTTAACTTTTTTTCTTTACAATGCTTGTCAAGAATTTCATGAGAAAAAAATATTGTCTAGAAAACCTGTAACATTAAATAAAGGAAGAAGTGGTGTCCGGATCCAAATGTTGGGTGAAATTCTACATTATGTCATATAAGTAAACAAACAAAACATTTCTTCTTTCCCAGTCAGAACGAAGTAAGTCCATTTTTAAAATATCTTCTAAAAGTTAGGCATTTTACTGAGTGCTTTAAACCTCCTTACAAAGTAAGGATTTTCCATTTTATGAGCTAGGTTGTTGACACTCATAGAGATTGGGTGACTAGCCCAAGATAATGCATGTGAGGAGAGTGATACTATACATGGTCTTTTAGCAGGGACTCAAACACTATTTCATACCCATTTTCAAATGCACAGCCACTAAATCATATTGTCAGTAATAAGCATTTGTTTACTCCATTATGCCTCATATGAACTTGTATTATGGAAATCACAGCAAGGAATTCTCCCATTGATAAAGGTTTCAGTTCTTCTAAAATGGAAATAGCTTAAGTTTTCTAATTATAAAAGTAGATGTTCATTATATAAGCAAACAAAAAACAAAAAAGCAAACAAAAAGTTAGTATCAAAATAATGACGAATAAAAGTCACTAGCAATCATCTCCTATAGGAATAACTGATTAATAATAGAGGGTTCTTTTAAAAGTTTAAGTTCCTCTACATTGCCTTGGTTCTAGTGATCTCTCAGAAATGTTAACTATGAATGTTGGGATTTTCTTATGGCCAGTTTGTTGCAGTATTTTTATTTTAATTTCCTCCATCTTTGAGAGATGACTGGCAAATTCACACAAATCCATTGCAATCTTCAGTCTAAACTGCTTTGTGCACCTAAACTGACAGTTTCTAACTTTGTACTGAGAAGACTCAGTGTTCAAAATATTATCATTGTATTGAGTAGCTTACCAAGGGCAAGGAGCACAGCTCTAAATGTCAGTTCAAGGTAGAAAACGCTGTCCTTCTAAACCCAATGAAGTCATCTTTTCTCCTAATAAACAGAGGCTTTATTTTTTTTTATAGAGAAATTTGATGCTGTTGAATATCAAGGATCTAAGAAGCAAAAAGAGATAAAATATATTCTACTTAGGTTACAGGCTGACTGCATCTGTGATTCAACCAATATGTTACATGAAAAAAAGAGGTGTATATTACTTGTCATAATGTTCTATAATAAGGAATTACTATATAACAGAAATTGAAGTCCAACTTTATAATTTAAAAGGGTAGATCACACAAGCATACAAAAATGTATTCCAGAGTTACCTTAAAAATCAAAAGAGCTTTTAAAGTTTGAGTTTTTTTATCTGTATTGAGAAAGCTCAGAGGTGACAAAAACTGAATAAAGGGGAACTGCTAAAAGAAAAACTGAAGCATATTTAAAATTTTAAGATTTCAATTAACCAAAAGTAGATTCAAGTCAGGGAGATAGAAGCAAAACAAGGGAATTATTTGACTATAGTTTAAGTGGTTGCATTGTTTGGGAAAGCCTCATTGGTTATTTGTGATTGATTGTCCTTAGGTTTATGATTTCTTTACCTTGACATTTACTCACTTAGGTTTTGTTTTGCTTACGTAGGTTGCTAAGCTATTAGCACCAGCTCAGTCTAATGGTCTCCTTGTTTAATTAATTGAATGCAAGTTTGAGGAATTGTGGTGAAGCTACCATATTAACTAATTGCTAACTCATTGTTATTAAATGTAATTTTTATATCTCTAAACTTGAATGTATAATTGGGAAAGGAAAATAATCTCACTAAGTCAATAACAGACATATGAGATCCAATACTTCCTGTCAAAGTGGTTCATGAAGTATATGGAGCCCCGATCCCCTTGTGAGCCCCTCATTAGCACAAACTACTGAGTGAGTCTGAGTGACCCACCATGTTTAAAAAAGACACCACTGTCAATGTGAAATCCCAAGAGTTTAGAAGTGACCTGTAGGAAGTTGGGAGAAAGGCCAGTCCAATTCTTCATTATACAAAATTATACATATGATAAAGGTCTACTGTCCAGAATATATAAACACATACAAACAACAAAAAGACACCCAAAATGAAAAATAGGCAAAGGATTTGAATAGATATTTTCCCAAAGAAGTTATACAAAGGCCAATAAGCACATGAAAAGATACCTGGTTTCACTACTTTTTCCCTCCTCTTAGATATATATTACCGAATTTTATTTTGTTAATATTTCAGTGAGGATTTTTAGTATTAAATGTATTTCTTATAGAATATTGACCTTATATCCAGAAACTACACTGGAATAGAAATTTTTAATTTTTTTTATTCAGGTAACTCTGGTTGACATCACTGTGTTTTAGAGGTGTAGGATCTACTCTTCAGGTGTTGTTACCACCTCACACCCACAACCAAAAAACCTACAGTCCACCCCCCGCAGCCATTGTGCTCCTTCCCCACTTTGTTCCTTGAGGTACAGGAATGCAAAAGCAACATAAGCTGTCTCCCATACTCTCTGGTTCTACTCATGTTTTCCAAGCCTTTACCAGGGAGCCCTGTCCGTTGGAAGGAATTAGGTAAACCTCACACTTTGATCCTCATTGAGTTCCTTGAATCTACTACCCACTATTTAGAATCTGAAGAATGGGAAGGACAGTTGATGGGTTTAGACCTCCAACAGGCCCAGCACTGTAAGATTAAATATACTTTGCCTTCACTGCACAGTCTCCATGACTGATTTCTCTTTGTTCTTCAAGAGTTGTCAAATGCAGGCCTCCCTGGTGGCACAAGGGGTTAGACGTGACTTACGAAGCTGTCCGCAGCCACTGCAGCACGAGTTGGATCCCCGGCCAGGGAACAACCCGCATGGTGCAGCAGACCTCTCCTGGCTCGCCTGCTGCTCCCCTCAGCAGTGTATTTCAGTCAGTCTGCCTGTTCTGCTCCCCACTCTGTCTCTGGTGAATCCTCTCACCTCCCACACCTCTGGCCTGTACCCCAGTTCTTGTACGCATAAATAAATAAATCTTTAAAAAAAAAGTTGTCAAATACCTCTGCTATACAATGTCCCTGAATGTCTCCCCCTTTTCAATCCTACATTTGATTCAGATGTATCTCCCACATGTTCCTCCTTTACTTTATGCATATCTCTGTAATCAGTACAGACTAGATATAAGTTCTGGCTTTATTTCTTATAAGTTATATGACTTTAAGTTTCTAAAGTTTTGTATGCCTCAGCCTCTTCATTGATAATATAATAATCCCTCTTACATAAAGATGTTTAGAGAACTAAAAAAATGACTTATATACATAGCAATTAATATTACGAGTTTAACACATAGCAATTAAGCAGTAAGTATTAACTACTATTGTTTTTTTTTTAAATTTCTAGTTTATCCAGAGGGTAGCAAATTTCTTGAGGACAAAGAAATTTCTTACTCCTTTGTCATTTTCCAGTACTAATAAATGTGACTAGCACATGGGAGATGCTCAACAATGTTCTGCTGTTTTTTGAATATAGACAGAATCAAAAAGACTTAGTCTTAGAGTCAAGGCTGGAAAAATAAACTTCAGTCCATCTCTAAACACCTAGGTTCATTTTGCTTCTCTCTGAAGTCCATGCAGTAAGCATCATTTTTGACTATCCATGGTGCTGACCTTTACCTAACTGGCTAAGTAGGCAGAGCCTGCCTGACCAACAATGTGAGACACATCCTGTACTGATTAATGACTCTGCTACACCCCCAGGATGACTGAGCATGTTGTCATCTCAATGTGGCTAATGACTAAGGCCATTTAGAACTCCCCCAACTCAACTGACTTCCTAAATCAGTCATTGGATTCTTCTTCCTTAAATCTGACCCCTTTCAACTCGCTTCTCATGACACTGACTACAAAAGTAGTTAACTTTCTTTTTTTTTTTTTTTTAATAGAGGCATGCTTTTATTTATTTATTTATTTGTTTGTTTTTTGTTTTGTTTATACATGCACTGGGTACAGTCAGAAGCGCGGGAGGGTGAGAGAATTCACCAGAGCCAGAGCGGGGAGCAGAGCAGGCAGAAGGACCGAAGTACACTGCTGAGGGGAGCAGCGGGCGGCAGGAGAGGTCTGCGCGCCATGTGGGACCCTCCTCCAGTGGCCGGGGAGCAGCCGGGGATCGAACCGGCGCCACAGAGGCTGCGGGCAGCTTCGCAACCCAGCGCTCAACCGCTGCGCCACCGGGGAGGCCCGTAGTTAACTTTCTTATCTATTCCCATTCTTTCCCTATGTCTTTAATGCTTTAGATGCCTACTATTTTGTTGCTCTTATTTTTATTCACTTCTCCTCCTCCAACTATGATTTTTAAAAATCACATTTGTTGTCCATTTCATAATTAGTGGCCTTCTTGCTAAATCACTTTAGAGCTGGTGTCATATTTTATCTAAGTGCAGACAGAGGAAGACTTTTCACATGTGGGGGAGGGGAGGGCTGTACATTGGGCATCTGACATTTATCTGTTTAAAATAAGTTCAAATACAAATTCCTGAAACCAAAGCTGAGGATGGGGCATGTGTGGCGACGGGACTCTGACTGGGGGTTTAAAATCCAGGTGGGAAATGCCCCAGGGATGAACTTCGTCTCCATTACTGACTTACATGAGGCCAGATCTGGCTAAAGAGATGGATGGTTTTTGTGTTCCTGACAAACTGCTAGAAAGAAGCCCTCCAAAGAAGTAAGGAAATATTCTAAGTTTTTTTTTCCCTCTATGGACCTACTTAAATTCAGTTCAATCCACACAGACATAAAATCATCGCCATCTTTGAGGAAGACTGAGAGTGCTGATAATAGCATTTCTAACATGGTTTTATAGTAACGTGCTATCAACAAATTTGGCCTCCCCCCGGTGCTGAAGGGAAGCCAGGTTCAGCTGCAACAGGCTTTGAGCTCCTCTAACAGTGGGTGCTGAGGGTGGATGGAGCCCCCTCAGTGGCTGAGCCAGCTTCTAACTATTTACATGAACACAAGCAGTTACAAGAATTTTTCTGAAGGTAAATGTCTGCAGCAACGTTTGCTACTATTTTCCTTAATTTAATTAAATACTGCAGGAATTTTTATAAAATTTAATTTTGTTTTCCTTTTTAATGCTAACACTGCTTGAAACCAGGCATTTTCTAAGAGTTATACAAATATTAACTCATTCAATTTCCAAAGTAACCCAATTATCTAGATACTATTATTATGCCTTTTAACATGTGAAGAATTTTGGGGCCCAGAAAAATTAAGTAACTTGCCCAAAGTCACACAACACAGCTAAGAAGTGACTGTGTTCTTTACAATGTTGTCCCACCAGACTCTGCTTTTAACCCCTGGGCTCCCTTCTGATTTTTAAAAAGAATTATGTGTAGTGTAACCTTCTTTCTAGGGGTGCAGGAACTGGGAATCTTCATTCTTTTAAATACATTTAAAATAGATGTCAGTGACTCCTTAAAGTAAAAATAGGTAGGAATAGGGCCTCTCTGGTGGCGCAAGGGGTTAAGCACCGCACTGTGAGACAATCCGCAGCCTCTGCAGCACAAGTTCGATACCCGGCCAGCCAGAGAGATTCCCACCTCTCCTATCTCACTTGCTGCTCCCCTCAGCAGTGTGTTTCAGTTGGTCTGCCCTTTCTGTCCCCCCACTATCTCTGGTGAATCCTCTCATCCCCCCCAATCTCTGGCCTGTACCCCAGCTCTTATATGCATAGATGAATAAATCTTTTTTAAAAAATAGGTAGGATTATGTCAATAAAGATAAATGAAACTCAAGGCAATGGGGTAAGCAAGCTGTCAGTTTGTAAAGTACTGCTCTCCCGCCTTCAGAATTGCCTCTTCTTTATTCACTTACTGTTCTGGAGTGCAGTTACATAACTCTCCAATTCTGCCCTCCAGATATACTAGACAACTTGTAATCACAAATTATCACATTATAAAATTTATAATAGCATTTTAGTGTAAAGAATAGACCTGAATTGTAACTTCTGGACATTTGTCAAATTATCGCTTATAATTTACATTTTGAAACCATGGAATTTATCTGATTGAAAATTCTGCCAAATCAGTCCATCATTTTCCTATAGTTATCTTGCTATAGTTTCTAAATTCAGTCTTCCAAAATGGCCCCTTACCTCTACTAATGTTGAACTGAAGAAGCAAGAGCAAGGTAGGGATGGGAAAAATGGATTTTGGTGGTGGACATGGGTATCTTGGTGTTGAGTGCGGTGTGGTAAAAACACCTGAGGGGGTAGATTCTATACTTCTAATACACACTATTACCTCAATCTAAAAAAAATTAGTAGTATAGCAAAAAAAATAAAGAAATCTCACATTCATGTCTCCAGTAATTTTCTTCCTTCTCCTTTTTCCACAGGAAAATCCATCCCATAGATGTTCTTCAGTCTGCTTATAAACCAGTCAACAAAATGTTTTTCTTCTCTTTTTTGCTGCTGTAACCCCAGAGTTTAGAGCAGCACCTATACCTGAGTAGACAATCAATACTCGTCTGTTCAATTGATGAGAACTGAAGGGAACTAAAGTCGTGATAAAGTCAAAAGTATCTTTCATACAACTATCTCAAGAGGAAAAAAGAAGTATGATGTCCATTTATTAAAACTTTCTTATTAAATCAGCATTAACAATCTTTTACCTGATTAAAAATTATGCTTATTGAAATATTTTTTCAAAGTGTCAAACTGATGATTTTAAAGGGAAATAGATATAATGAGTGCCATTTGTCCTTCCATTGCTCCTGCTTGAATCAATTAGAGTATTCACCTATATCCTCATCTACTTAAATTTGTTTTTCCTTAACATTTGGCATTTGACATACATTTTAAAAAGCTTCTTATTCAATTGTGTTGCTTTTCTGGCTATGTAAGAGTTACCAGTATTAGAATATTCTGTTCTTATTCATTGCAATGTACAGAACTTGCATTATTTTCAGTGTGACACGGCTTTTATGAAATACCTAGAAACATAAGTGCTTCTCTTAACTTTGTTTCCATGGGGAAATGCATGTCAAATAACCAGCTGATATTCAGGCTCTGAAAACACAAGCCATTTGTACATCATTGGTTGTCTGGAATGTCAAGGACCTGTGACTTTTGTCACACAATATGGAGCAATGAAGCAGTTAAATATGCTTTTCAATTCCATGTGACCACACCGATGAGCTGATGGAAGAATGGAAATTCTCCAATAACCAAAAAGTCACAATAAATCAACAAGGTGAAATAGTCATTAAATTCCTTAAGAACTTTGGTGCCTCAGTCCATCCAAAGAAAATTTTATGGGACAATATGAAAAAACAGATTTTTTTATAAATTTTTTCTGACACAAGGCATAACTCTATAAAAGAATGCTAAGAATTCACAGGAGTTGAGTAACAACAAAACTTGACCTAAAGGCAATCTAACTACAAAATGGAATAGAAAGTGGAGAAAAATAGCAACTAAAGCCCATTACTATCTAAGTTACCCTAAGCAGATTAAAATGGGATAATAAAAACTAAAACAAATGAAGTTATTAGGATGAATATATAACATGGATGATTTAGGGGGGAAACTTTAATAGCAACTTAACTGTTCCTAGAGGAATTTTCCAATGAGTTACCAGGATTGATATAAATATTTGTTCAAGACAAGTTTCATATATTTCCCTCTTATTTATATAAGGTAAAAGAAGTATGTACATGATAGCATAACCAATAAAGAAGGATACCAAGTATCAAAAACATTTTTGGCCAAAAGTGAAATAAATGTAAAACAGAGATAAAAAGTAAGTAGTGCAAGAATGACTATTAACGTTTTTCCAGAAACCTGAAATTAAAGTAATGCTCCTATTGGTTTCTAAAAGCCACACTTAGTTACCCCAAAAGATACTGTTGGGTGACAACTTCAGGAATGTCCCAAATGTGATCTGAAACACAGAGAGCTGGGAGAGACAATGAAGAATGATGACTACACCACATTGGGAGGTGGTTGATTTAATAGCAAGAGGCCTTGTCTTGGGTGGCCCCCAAACAAGAGAGTTTTCCATACCTGCATGCCAAATCTTAAAAGTTTATAAAGAGGTTTTAACTGGATTTAATCACGTGCACACCAGATGGTCTCAACACTGGGAGCAGGGAAGGCAAGTGGAATACACATTCCAAGAAGAGGGGAGGGGTAAGAAGCCTCCAATTGCCCAGGTCCAGCTGGCAGGTCAGCAGGCGGTCACATTCTTTTGATAGCTTTCCCCAACAGATACCTAGAAAAATTAAAGAATGACTTCATTTCTGAGACTGTTTCAAGGATCCACAAATACAGGCATAAGAAAAAGATTAAAACCAACAAAACATGGTTTGTGAAATAGAAAACTAGAAAGCATGGAACATCTGGAAATAATGGATGAAAACAGAATGCCAAGATGGAGGACATTTGAATAAACTATGAAAAGACGAAACTTAGATTGAGCATTTAGATACAAGAATACTTATTTAAATATATGCTCCACCCTGTGGTGGTTGCTGCTGCCCATCGCAGCAAAAATGGGTGGGGAATATCCTTACTTCAGAGGAGTGACACACAGAGGACTCCTTGAGTCATTAGGCCCCTCTGCACTCATTAATGTTGTAGTTTGAGCATATGATACAACACAGAGAGAGCTCAAGACAATGGTATTGACAGCTCTTCTGACTTGAAATTTGTTGGAGAAATTTCATATTGGGGTTTGATGGTAGAAAACTTATTTTTCCTTTGGGAAAAAAAGAGTCAGTAATATGTAGGGCTACCTAAAATACAGGAGTCTATACCAAATGGCCACAGGTAGCAGAGAGCTTCATTCAGTTCATACACCAAAGAAGACTTAAAGGTTAGAGCTCCATAAGGGTGACAATACTACGTAAAAACCCCAAATTCCTTTAACTTCTACTGTAGTTTTTTATCTCAATAATCAATAACTTCTATCTAGAGCAATCATAAGGATGAATCCCTAGTGCAACAGGCCAACTGAACAATGTTTTGCCCATACATGCCATATCAGTTAAGATGCTTTGTTTAAAAAAAATGGTGTTTTTTTTTTTTAAGACTTATTTTATTTATACAAGAACCAGGGTACAGGCCAGATGTGCAGGAGGGTGAGAGGATTCACCAGAGACAAAGCAGGGAGAAGAACAGGCAGACTGACAATATACACTGCTGAGGGGAGCAGCAGGCAAGACAGGAGAGGTCTGCTCGCCATGTGGGTTGCTCCAAGGCCAGTGGGGATCGAACCGGCACTGCAGAGGCTGAGGACAGCTTCACAGCACTGTGCTCAACCGCCTGTGCCACCAGGGAGGTCCCCATTTTAGATGCTTTAAAAAAAAAAAAATAACTAAATAACTAAATAAATATTTATTTATTTATTTATTTATTTATACAAGCACTGGGTACAGTCAGAAGCACAGGAGGGTGAGAGAATTCACCAGAGCCAGAGCGGAGAGCAGAGCAGGCAGACTGACGAAGCACACTGCTGAGGGGAGCAGCGGGCGGCAGGAGAGGTCTGCGCGCCACGTGGGACCCTCACCCAGTGGCCAGGGATCCAATGGGCACTGCAGAGGCTGCGGACAGCTTCTCAGTGTGGCGCTCAACCGCTGCGCCACCGGGGAGGCCCAAGATGCTTTTAATAGCAAGCAATAGAGGCCTACCTGGTGGTGCAGGCGGTTGAGGGCCACATTAAGAAGCTGTCCGCAGCCTCTGTAGTGCATCTGGCCTATACCCCAGTTCTTTTTTTTTTTTTTTTTTGGTGGGACCCTCACCGGCTGCTGGGGAATGAACCGGCGCTGCAGAGGCTGCGAGCAGCTTCGCAGCACAGCGCTCAACCGCTGTGCCACCAGGGGAGGCCCTATATCCAGGTTCTTGTATAAATAAATAAATCTTTTTAAAAAAGCAATAGCAATAGCTAAAATCTTTTTAGCAAGCAATAGAAAAATCAGACTTACAGCTAAACTATAAGACTATTAATAGTTCACTAGGAAATTCATGATGATTGATTCAGGTGGTTCAATTATGTCATCAAGAACCCTAGCATTTTCCATCCTTAATTTCACTGCTCTCAGTGAAATTGGTGTTAATCTTCATTGTCACATTTTTTCCAGATACCACATTTTCACATTATAGCTTTCAAAGATACAAGTGGACAAAGTTGACTTTCTTTTTGCTGCTCTCATCAAAAAGGAAACATTCCCCTGAATTTTCCAACATATTTTTTTCAATCTCTTTGCTCAGAACCAGGTCTCATATTCATCCTTAATCACTTTCAAAATTTTTAAAAAAGATTTACTTATTTAGACAAGAACCAGGGCACAGGCCAGATGTGCGGGAGAGCAAGAGGACTCACCAGACAGAGTGGGGAACAGAACAGGCAGACTGACGAAAACACTCTGCTGAGGGGAGCAGCGGGCAAGACAAGAGAGGTCTGCCGTGCCATGTGGGTATCTCCCTGGCTGGCCGGGAATCGAACCCGTGCTACAGAGGCTGCCGATGGCTTCACAACACTGCGCTTAACCCATTGCGCCACTAGGGAGGCCCTACACTAATAACTTTTGAGGAGGAACCAAGTTGCTATGACTGGCTTAGATGAATCAGTTAGATGCATTGCAGCTAGAATGAAGTTGGGATTCTGTTATCAAGGAAAGAAAAGGAACTTGTGTAAAACTGACCTTAGGGAAAGTCTAAATGCAGAAAGGACTTTTAACTATCATCCTAACACCTTTTCTTTTTAATCTAAAATTTGTGGCATTATGACCATGCTTCTCAGAAGCAGATTCTTTAACTACCTGCATCAGGATCACGGAGGATGTTCAGATTAAAAATAGTTTTCTCTCTGGAATTTACGCTTAATTTTTCTGGAAACTAAAACCTGCTCAAAAAATAAAGTCTATTTAAAAAAAAAATGAGGGGCCTCCCCTGGTGGCGCAGCAGTTGAGTGCTGGGCTGCGAAGCTGCCCTCAGCCTCTGCAGTGCCGGTTCCATCCCCAGATGCCAGCGAGGGTCACACATGGCGCAACAGACCTCTCCTGCCTTGCCCGCTGCTCCCCTCAGCAGTGTCTTTGGTCCATCTGCCTGTTCTGCATCCCGCTCTGGCTCTGATGAATTCTCTCACCCTCCCACGCTTCTGACCTGTACCCCAGTTCTTGTATAAAATAAATCAATCTTAAAAAAAAAAGAAACTACAAATTAAAAGAAGATACTACTACATACATACTAACCAAATCCAAAATAGTGACAAAATCCAAAATAGTGACACCAGCAAATGATGGTTGTGAAACAACATGAACTCTTATTCATTGTTGGTGGGAATGCAAAATGGCACAGCCACTTTGAAAGACGGTTTGACAGTTTTTTACAAAACTAAACATACTTTCATTATAAGACCCATCAATCATGTTCCTTTATGAAATGAATTTAAAATTATATCCACACAAAACCCTCTACAAGGATTTTTATAGTAGCTTTATTCACAATTGCCCAAACTTAGAAGTAAAATGTCCCTGTGTTGATGAATGGATAAAATGGTAGATCCAGACAATGGATTATTATTCAGTGCTAAGAAGTAGTGAGCTATCAAACCATAAAAACATGAAGAAAACGTAAGTGCTGCTACTAAGTGAAATATCCCAATATGAAGAGGCTATATACTATATAATTCAAATAATGTGACATTCTGGAAAAGACAAAACTATGAAGATTGCAAAAGGTCAGCGGTGTCTAGGGGATAGAGGAAAGGATGAATAAGCAGAGCACAAAATATTTTTAAGGCTGCAAACTAGTCTGTATGATACTAGAGTGGTAGCTATATTATTAACACTTGTTCAAACACACAGAATATACAATATCAAGAAGAACCCTAAAATATGTGTGTCTTGAGTGGTAATGTTACATCATGTAGGGTAAGCAATTGTAATAAACTTATGACCCTGGTAAGGGAATACTGATTTTGGGTGAGACTGTACATAGGCAGACAGGTATATTGGAACTTTCATATAACCCCTGTACTTTCTGCTCAATTTTTCTGTGAATGTAAAACTACTTTAAAATGTAAAGTTTATTTTAAAAAATTAAATGTTTCTTGGGCTTTACAACAGACCAACTGAATCAGAAAGCATCTTGCAAAAGGGTTATAATCTAAGGAAAATGATTTTTAGCAATTTCTTTGGAGTCAGGATCATTAATCTAAAGAGAGTTGAGAGGGGGAGAGAAAACAGGAAAATGGAGATGAGGACAGAAATAAACACTCACTGAGGAGCTCTGTGTACCAGCCTCAGAGACGGGTTAGGCAGAGCTGGAATAGATCTCAGTTTAAAACTTCCTAAAATGATTCTGAGGGAATGATGTCCCTAATTCAGTGAGGGATCTTCAGGGAAGGAGATTTTTCTTTTTCTTTTTTTTAAGTAGCTTGAAACTGAAAAGATTAAAAAGACAAAGCATTTCTCATATAGAAATACTAATGTCAAATACTGGATGATTTAACTCATATGTGGATTAAAGAGAAACAAAATAAAGGAACTGCCAAAACTAAACCATAACACTCCTAGAAATGTGACTGCAGAACTGAGGATACTAGAGGGAGAGGGAGGGTGGGAATAGGAACAAAATGGGGAGGTGGCCCAGCTGGGTGCTTCATGGTGGGTGTGGTAACATACATCTGAGGAGGTGTCTACCTGTTCCCCTAAATCATATACAGTGTTGTAAACCAATGTTACTGCAATAAAGGAGGAAAAAGAGATATATATCAATGTAAAAAAAAAAAAAAAAGATACAGTCAAAGATAATGGGTTTGAAAAAAAGGAAAAAATAAAGGATTCTTCCTCCAGAGCTCAGTAATTATTCTATAAGACTGTTCTGCTATGTGTTATATGTCTCATGAAGTCATGGAGGTGCACGTTATCTACCATGATTTCATGGAAACAAGACAGATGACATTACCATTGGGGATTCAGACTCAAAATTAGATTAGGCAGTGAAGCTTTAATATGGAAATTAGGAGAGAGTTTGGTTTCTAAATGCCACAACATAAAACATTAACTATTAACAGGCAAAACAATTGGCAGATCTTTGGGATAAAACCAGTTCATTCAATGGGTAAGGAAAAAATGGATTTTTAATGATGGCATTCAAAATCAATCATGTCAGTTAATACGCTCATGAAATAGTACCTATAACTGGGGTAACCATATAATTTATTATCCAAAACAGGACACTTTTGAATGAATGAGGCTTTTTAACAAAAATGCCAAGAAAACAGGTATAGTCCAGCCTGTTGCAAGCAAACTAGAACACATAACCCCCCAACAATAATATTCTGGACATAACAAACCTAACAACAATCACATATACTAACTACAAGAATCCAAAGAGGAACAGACTTTAATTATAAAGTTAGAAACCATAGATTGATTTATTCAAGTTCTTCTCTCTCTCCAGCCATAGTCTTGGTGTGGAACATCAAGTAGCACTTTTATAATTACATAGTAGAGCAGTAATGAATATTGATCTTGGAACTTAGTAAAAATCAATGTTAATTTGTAGACCACATTGGATTCAATCTAGTCTTTACTCTGGAATTCATGCAGTGGCCATTGTTATATCAGTCCCACTACCTCTATGACCATGGCAATGGGCTCAAACTTGGACAAACTGTCAGAAGTTTTATTTTTTCCTGTTTTAAGATATAGTATGCCTCTACATGGAAATTGAATCCTTAGTGGTGTCTTGATTATGAAAAAAATATGGTCATTGGGGTTTCTACAATTTGGTTTTTCTTTTTCTATTTCAATTAAGATTTACAGGGGAGGGGATATCAACAGTATGCTATGCTTTTTTGTAAGTGGCAGTTTACATAAAGCAGAGGAGATATGGACCATATGATCATGATTTCAAGGAAAAATATTGTCTAGTCATTTGTAATCTTTGAGACCAGCAATTCAGAAACCTGAATGCACATAAGAATTATCTGGGGGTGGGGGCGGGGAAGCTTAAGAAAAAAAAATCCTGGCGCCTACCACATAAAAAAGTGCACGTGAAGGTTTACAGCAGAACCATTCACAACAGCCCCAAAGTGGAATCAATACAACTGCATCAAGCTGATGAATGCATATAATGTTATCTATGTAAGAATAATTTTCATCAATAAAAACTTGAAGAGCTGTTAAAACATGGATGAACCTTGCAAACAGTATGAGAAATATGAAGAAAGTCATACAAAAGAACACATATTGTATGATTTCATTCATATGAATTGTTCCAAACAAGCGAATCTATAGAGACAGAAAGAAGACCCATAGTTGCTGGATACGAGGGCAGGAATGTAGTGACTTCTAATGGGTAGAAGGTTTCATTTTCAGGGTGAGCAAAATGTTCTAAAATTGATTGCAATCATCAGAGAAACCAAAAAATCACCTTGACATATCTCATACCTGTTGGAATGGCTATTATCAAAAAGACAAGAAGTAACAAGTGTCGGTAGGTTGTGGAGATAAGAGAATCCTGTGCATGGTTGATGGGAATGTAAATGGTACAATCACTATGGAAAGCACAATAAGCGTATCTCAAAAAATTAAAAATATAACTACCATATGATCTCATACTACTTCTGGGTAGACATATTCAAAGAAAATGAGATGAGTTATTTCAAAAACATTACACCTAATGGTATAATGTAGCCCTAAGTTTGATATCTGCAATATATGCCCAATCACCTGCATCTTTCCTGCCAATCTCCATGGCATTTTTCTGAACCTTGACTGGGACTCTGCTACAACTTTCCCTACAAACACTCAGTATCCTGACTGGGAATAAGTCTCACTCAGAAATGCAGTTTAGCAGTGCTGAAATTCTCCCAAATTTGGGGCACATCTGACTTCCTGCAAACTGGCTGGCTGACACCTTGCTTCATGTTAGAGAATCAACCTTGTAATGGTCCATGTTGTCACTTGCCAGACACTGTATTGCCACTCTCTGGACTACTGATCCAGAAACCCATACCCAACAATAGCCTAAATGCTGATATTGGCCTAGCCAAGAAACATAAGACATTACCAGTAACAGCTGGTTCCTGCAGTGCTCTCTGGAATGGGCATAAGATTCCTGGATTCATCAACTTGCTGGGCTGCCAGTAAGGTTACAGCATTACCTTTAAAACCTTGTTAGAAAGAATATGAAATATTTCCAATTACAGAGAGTAAATACTGTTGAAAAAGTATTGTTCCTTTTAAATTTTAGAGTAAATTCCAAACCAATGCTTTTTGAGACATTTTTGAGCACTTCACTACATGTTAGTTATTTTTGGAGGGATGAATAGTGGAATCAATCAAACTATACCATATTCTACCTCCCAAAGGGTTGTGCTCAGAGGGTTAAAGTGTGAGTGACTTGAATAACCAAGCATTCATCATCATCTTTGGGAGACTATATTAACTCTGAGTCCAGAGGTCACTGTTCAGGTAACTGTAGCAAATAATCTAAAAGGGAATTAGAAACATGTTCATCAAATGTGGGAATGTGATCTAACAGGGAATAACAAAAGATGAGAAATAGGAAAGTCTTCATGCAAGATCATGTTTAGAAGGAAAATCACACAGATCTGAGAAGCCAGGCTTTAAGTGTGGTACAAAAAACTCAGGGACACAGCTGAGCACATCTAACCCTAAACATTCAGGGAAGGAGGAGCACTGTTATCAATCAACAAAGCTGTAAAGTTCAATACTGGGATGATCAAACATTTGCTATATCATATCAGTTAATGGAAATGCCCAAAATGATTAAGTTCAGTTCCACGTATTGAGTAGAAGCAGCAACCTTAGCTCTATAATCAACCTAAAAAATAACAACAGCCAGATAGTTGAAAATAAGTTATCTTGAAGAGGTTATAACTACCATTAGATTATAACACTTAGATAAATAAAATAGGAAAAATCATAATTTGTAACAAGCATTCATTAAATGTTTATTGCTTGAATGAATGACAAAGAATTTCATCTGACAATATACTGCTTAAAAATGTGACAATATTTAACTTTCCAAATTTCATATGATCCTATTCCTTCTGTGTCCTAATGTCTAAAAGTCTGATAATCCTATTTCCCACCGAATACTTATCATAGTTCATAAATTGGTGGCATTATAAAATCTTTTTTTTTTTTAAGATTTTATTTATTTATTTATATAACCACTGGGTACAGTCAGAAGCACGGGAGGGTGAGAGAATTCACCAGAGCCAGAGCGGGAAACAGAACAGGCAGACTGATGAAGTACACTGCTGAAGGGAGCAGCGGGCGGCAGGAGGGTCTGCACACCATGTGGGACCCTCACCTGGTGGCCGGGGATTGAACTGGTGCTACAGAGACTGCGGGCAGCTTTGCAACCCAGCGCTCAACCGCTGCGCCACCAGGAAGGCCCTATAAAATCATTTTATTCAAATGAAAAGGCTATATCCCTGCTAGACATTTCACCCAGTAGCAACAAATAAAAATATGAATTTAATTTTTATATCCCTGTAAAAGTTCACAAATTATTTTCTACCACTTTAGGCTTTCTTTAGAAGGTTTTAATTTTATGTGAAGCTTACCATCCATGAAATTTTCTAATTATATAACAGAAGTCTTAATATTCAAAAGTGTTTATACTTTTAAAAGTCTGGATATCAGGAACCTGAAACAAACTTTCTACAGAAAGTCCTGGTTCCAACTGTAATTAAACCACAGCATGATTTTATGTTCAGGACACACAATAATAGGTGGTTATTAGAGAGTTGTTTTATACAGTTAGTGATTTAAATTCTTCATTTTTTTGTTCAAAAATGTTGTCTTCATTTTAGGAAGAGAAGTCTGTAATTTCTTCCATTTGAAACTCTTCTGTCCACTTCTGCAGGTCTTTTGCATCATTTATCATCCATAACTCTGCAAAACACTTTCGTCTGTTCCTGAAGAAAAAATAAAATACCATTTATTTTATAAATAAAATTTTGGGACATCTCATTGAAAACAATGAAAAGTCTATGATATTAGGATACTAGGCAGGGTGCTATTGTTAGGAAGCTATGTGGCTAATGCTCAGCTATTAGAAACCCAATGAATGCAGGAGATTTTGTTTGGTTTCTTTGATCTGGTCAGTGGAAGTGATATGATAAACACTTAGTAAAAATGTAAAATGATGAATACTATATCCTGATAAATCGCCAGGTTTCATTTTAATGAAACCTCTTCCTACCATTCTCTGTCTAGTCAAAAAAACTTTTTAAGATTTAAAAAAGTAACACATTAGTTGGAGGAGTTAACTTATTTATAAATAATCTAAATGTTATTGCTCTTGCTTTATAGGTTATATAACACCAAGTATACACTATCATATTTTACTGTCATTTTGCATATGTATTTTTTGTTCTAGTTTCTTTAGGGAAAAAGGAAGACTAAGACAACAAAAGAGGACTTAAATTTCTCTTTGGACTTTCCAAAGAACAAAGAGCTAAGCTTATTTTATTTTATTTTTTTAAAAGTTTATTTTATTTTATTTTATTTTTTTATTTTATTTTATTTTCAAGCACTGGGTACAGTCAGAAGCGCAGGAGGGTGAGAGAATTCACCAGAGCCAGAGTGGGGAGCAGAGCAGGCAGAAGGACCGAAGCACACTGCTGAGGGGCGCAGCGGGCGGCAGGAGAGGTCTGCGCGCCATGTGGGACCCTCCTCCGGTGGCTGGGGAGCAGCCGGGATAGAACCGGCGCTGCAGAGGCTGCGGGCAGCTTCACAACCCAGCGCTCAACCGCTGCGCCACCGGGGAGGCCCTAAGCTTATTTTTTTTTTTTTTTTTGGTAAAGATTTATTTATTTTTTTATACAGCACTGGGTACAATCAGAAGCAGGGGAGGGTGAGAGGATTCACCAGAGACAGAGCAGGGGACAGAACAAGCAGAGTGATGAAATACACGGCTGAGGGGAGCAGCAGGCGGCAGGAGAGGTCTGCGCGCCATGTGGGACCCTTGCCAGTGGCCTGGGATCGAACTGGTGCTGCAGAGGCTGTGGGCAGCTTTGCAACCCAGCGCTCAACCGCTGCGCCACCAGGGGAGGCCCTAAGCTTATTTTTTAACTCTCATAATTACTTTTCTCTGGAAAAATTTTGTATTAATCTGTCTTATAACAAATACTTAGAAATAATCTGTTTCTGAGTACATAATCTGCTCCTAATTTGGTATTGTGGAAATGATCCAGAAGAGAATGTCAACAGAGTAAACTATACATCATTTGTTGTATTCTAGCACTTTGGATTTGGTCAAACACAATGTACCACTGTAAGATGTGAAATGTAAGGCAGAACCACAAGAAGAAGGAAGCAGAGAAAAAGAAGGTGGTATACAGGCTGACAACTATTTCTTTAGTATGAGATACTAATATTTTGATATTCAAATTTAGTAATGATTTCAAGAACTCAAATACATTTGTATAGTTTGGGCCAGTCAATATTTCTCTTTGACCAACAATGTGTTCCATCATGGTTACACAGTTATTAGCCAGGGCAGCTCAAATCACCAAGTAGAGCAGAAGGAGGGGAAGAGCTTATAGTGCTTTATAATGTAAACTTTTATATGGGAAATAAAGGCTGTAATTTATTAGTTGTTAATATGATATGTTTTTCTAGGAAGACCTTTCCAAAGTGTATCTCAGATTTACATAAAGATTAGTTTACACTGACTACATACTCGCTGGATATCACGGATGAAATATGGCATTCTAGACAACACAGAAAACCCAGTTTAAAATGAAAGATTTGTCAAAATCCACAAAGAAAGCGACCTATGGTGACTGATGATAGTTATATTAACATACAGTGATGTTGTGTTCATTCCTGTCCTGGAGGAATTCTTAATTTCTGAATGTAATCACTAAATATCTCTAAAGTCAACATATGAATAAAAGTAGTACTCTAAAAGTTTTAAATATTAAAGTTTCTTCTAAGAATTTTTTTTGTATAACTAAAGATGTTAAATAATGAATATGCTCATGTACATTAAAAAGTTAACTTAATTCTGTAGAAAGTGATCTAAAAACCAATTTAGCACCTTGATAAAGATTTGGCTAGAGAAGATGGATTAGAGATGATGGACTAGAGAAGATGGACTGCAAGCACATGAGCTTTGCCAAGAACTGTTTTCATTTTAATTGTAGTTAAATGTTTCAGAATAGTTGAAGAGGTGATTAAAGCTAGACACAATGTTCATTTACAGGACAATCTTCTTCCTTGGACAACTTGGAGGATTTATTATAAACCAAAAAAATGCAGTGCAGTCATTCTGACCTTTTCATATTTACTACTGCTTCCAGCTCTTTTGACTTGCTAGCGGCTTTCTTTAAAACTTCTCCAGGAACATCTGCTAATTTAGCCACATTTAATCCATAGCTCCTTGCTGCAATTCCTCTGGTTATTTGATAGAGAAAAGTAACAAAATCGGGGACTTCTTCTCTGTCTACAACATGAAAAAAATAAAAGAGAGAGAAAGAAAATTATATTTGAAAGAAACTAGAGGATTCAAGAAAATACGTAAGTTTTTGTAACTTGACTCTAATAAAATTAGCTTAAAAAAACAAATCCACTGGTTCTAATTAATCACCCGTTAGTTCCTTTTACCAATTTTACATGTCTAAAAAGAGGGTAAATACAGTTTTGAATATACTTTTGCAGTTAGGATCTCTCTTTTAGATCATTATTTTTTCTTACTATGTGGAAATCATATATGATTCTTTTTCTAATATTTTATTTTATATAATTCTTATATCATTTTTCATTTTTGCACAATATATACATTTTCATTTTGGTTATATTCCCCATACAATTGCACCCCCTCCTATTTTGACTCTAATTCTTCCTCTCACTTAAATTTTTAACAATGACTGCTTACAAGCTAAGACACAGATTAATGCCACTTTCTGAAATATTTGAGATGAGCTTCTATCTCAAGAACCAAATGATCAACCATCCAGACTTTAACTCATCTTTGACTTATAAAAGTTTGAGATATATTAAAACTTTAGATTTTAATTCCAACTTAAATTTCAAAAATGTGTCCTGATAATGGTTCTCAGCCCTGAAAATATGTATTTCAAATGTGTTCAAACTGGTAACATTATTTTAAAAAGATACATGTTTTAAAATCTGGAATGTGTTTCAATACCAAAAATAATAAAGAAAAATGAGACTGGTTGGTGGCCTTTTGTGGGCAAAAGCAATGATATGCCATATTATGCTCTCTGTTCCTTTGACTTCATTAAGAGCAACCAGGTAAGCTTTTATTCCTGTTCTCCACCCAGAACCACATATCAAATACTAGAAGAGACTAGTATAGTTTCCTCAGTAAATAACTATTAGACCTTTTCAAAGTAATGCTCCTCTTAGAGTGTTTAACAATAACTTTTTTGTTTGTTGGTTTGTTTTTTTTAAAGATTCATTTATTTTTATGCATACAAGAACTGGGGTAAGTCTAGAGGCACGGGGAGGGGGGGGGGGGTGGGGGGTGGAGAGGATTCACCAGAGACAGAAAGAGGAACAGAACAGGCAGCCTGAATGAAATACACTGCTGAGGGGAGCAGCGGGAGAGACAGGAGAGCTCTGCTTAGCCCTGTGAGTTGCTCCCTGGCTGACTAGGGATCGAACTCATGCTGTAGAGGCTGTGGATAGGATAGCTTGACAGTGCTGTGTTTAACCTCTTGTGCCACCAGGGAGGCCTTTTTGGTGTTTTTTAAATAACTTTTTTTGTTGTTGAGTGGCAGTGATTTGCAGCACTGTGTGTGGTTTGGAAATGTCGGCTCACACCTCTTTAGTTATGTGTTACCAGCCCATGCCCACTGCCAGGGCACCTGTGGTCCTCCACCATGGTGCACTGGGCCCCCATTCCCTTTGCTCTCCACTCTCTCTTCCCCCTCTGGTGATTTCAAGTCTATGGTTGTTTTTAGGGATTGGTTTGATATGGTTTGTTCTGACCCTGTTCTGTTTCTTTATATTCCACATGAGTGAGATCATCCAATATTTGAACAGTAACTTCTTAATATGTGCATCCATGAGTGATAAATTTCTGGTTTATTAAATATACCAGTGAACTAACAGTTAAGATATGAAAGTGGATGATGTTCAGTCTACCCAAATCCCACTCAGGAATGAAGGGCTTATTGCCCCAGCTATCAGGAAAATTGTTAGCCTATACCCTTATCTGTATGCCTCTTTGGGAAATGTTTCAGCTGAGGAGAGCTGCTTTTCCCACAGTCAGCACTGTGTCTTGGGGAGCCCACATGCAGTGACGGGTTGCACTGGGTTTAGCAGGCAGTCTCTAAGATGGCCACCAAGAGGCCTGCCTCCAGGTGTTTATACCAAAAAAAGAGATCCTGTTGGATGGTACTCCCTCCCTTGGAGTGTGGGATGGACACAGTGACTTGCTTCTAATGAACAGTATCTGGCAAAAATTAAGGAATGCCAGTTCTGAGTTTAGATTACAAAGGATTGGCCTCTGTCTTGAGTACTCCTGCTTGCTCTGTGGGAAGCCAGTTTCCATGTTGTAGACTGCCCTCTAGAGAGGCCCACATGGAGAGAAACTGATGTCTCCCGCCAACAGTCAGCAAGGGCCTGGAGGCCTGCCAACAGCCATGTGAATGAGCTTGGAAGCAGATTTTCTGGAGCTTGCCAACAGCCTGAGAGAGGGCTGAGAAGTGGATTGCTCTGGTCAATCCTTGACTTGACTGTTGCCCCAATCAATACTTTGTCGCCAGTGAGATTTTGATGCATAAAGTTCAACTAAGCTGCCCCTGGATTCCTGAATCTTAGGAATTACGATAATAAATATTTATTGATTTAAACTGCTATGTCTTACAGTAATCTGTTATGCAATTAAAGATAATAAAGAATATAAAGTCTGGCTCCCTCACCTATAGCCAAGATAACTCTGAAGAACCAGCTTGGTCTCAAAGATCTCTGCAGGGCTGACTCAAGCCCTATCTCTGTAACATCATCTAATACCAGCCAGTCCTACCCTCAGGTGTTGATCAGAGGAACATTCCTCAATAAACGCTAGTATGGAAACCTCAGATCTGCTTTCCAGCAAATCCAGTCTGCCACCCATACACATACATGAATTAAAAGCTTTTAAAGAATGGGGGTATGATGAAGTCAAGTAATCTAGGACAATGCTGCAGAGAGTTTATAATCTTTTACAAATCTAAAGTACCTCAGAACTATGCTCTTATTATTAAATGCAATATAATTGTATTGTGCTGTAAAAATGTCCAAGGTGAACCATATATGGAATGATTTCTGAGTCGCCAGTATACTACTTTAAGTTTATCAAGAGCTTTTTTTCATGCATTATTTCATTTGATAATGTGCATGTTTTATTCTTTTATTAGGTAAAAAATAAAAAACCTAAAGACTGAGCACAACAGAGTAAAAGGATAATGGAAATTTCCTTAACCTCCTCAAAGAAGTCAGCAATAGACAAATTATATCTTTTAAAGTGTGAGTGCTGAAAGTGGGGGGTTAAAAAGAATGCTGACACTCTGGAATACACAGACAAAAACTTAACACTACAAAGCATTGCTAACACCTTTTACCACAAAAAACCAAAAAAACAAACAAAAAAAACCCTTAAAGAACACTAAGAACAAATGAGGAAGTGGGTGGGATTAGGTTAGGAAAGAAGTATGTAGGAACCAGTGTCTGCTAACCAGGATAATTTTTTGTTACTCTTCAGTGCTCACAAGACCAAAAGTGAACAAGTAATAGAAAACAAAATGCTTGCTTTTCATCTTTAAAACAGAAAAATCATCTTCATCATTTCAACTTGATTAATTCTAACTGATCTTCCTACTACCTCCAGTCTCTATAATCTAACCTCCATACCAGTTTTTCTAAAACAAAGATTCTTTCATCTGTCCATTCATTATCTACACATCCATGTAGCCCATACCAATCAAATACTGTCTGAAGTAACTTTTAGGAAAGATTCATCAAAAATTTAAGGGTGGATAAGGCCAGGTGATTTGTCTAAGATTTTACAGGCAGTAATAGACTAAAACAGGTTTCTTTACTGCTGGTCCAATTCCTTATCTATCCTATCAATAGATAAGCACAGTATCTTGGAAGCTACCCTAAAAGGCCTTTTGAGCATTTTACTGATGACCTAAGTAGTGATTTCTGACTGTAGAACTGAGACTACCAAAGGGAGGGTAGGGTAGAGAGTAAAGGGAGGGAGAGGGCCCAGAGGCTTATGGTGGAGGATTATGAGTGTGCTTTGATGATGGGTGTGGTGTGGTGACATACATCTGAAGAGGTATGAACCTATACCCCTAGATCACATAGAGTGTTATAAACCAGTACCTAATAAAAAAATAAAATTTTTTTAAAAAGGGCATTTTATATAGCTATGGAAGGCATAGGATAGGGTGTAAGAAGATTTAGCTATAAACTAAAACTAAAAAAATAAAAACAAGGCATTATTACATTCAAGAACACAGAAAAACTTAGAAACAAAATGCATTGTCTCCATATCTGATACATAAGTAAGCAATACTTACAGGCAATAATGGTGAAAATGAAGAATATCCTTGACCAGAAAAATGCAAAATGACTGTGCTGGGAGGACAAAAGAGGGAAGGCTGAAAACTCCCATCTAACACAGTGAGAAGTTAATCAATACCGTGTCAAGATACAAGGAGGCAGGAAAATAGGCATATTATTTTGAAATGTGGAAGAAATGGATGAAAAAGTTGAAAGCGGCTGCCTTGGGACTGGACTACGTAGGGGACATGGAGTGGAGGGAAGCAGCAAATGACTGCTGCCTGTTAGCATGAGCCTTCTAGCCTCATTTAATTCTGAATTTATGTTCATGTATACAAATTTAAATCAATAAAATAAAATGCCAGAACATTTAAGCCGTGAGGCCTTGGATTAGTTCACAAATGCTTACCACTGAACCTTCCCTGTTTGTGAACTCTACTTTGTTTATCCCACTGAGTTTAGCATCTCCTGATACGCTGAATGCAGATTAATGGATATGAAACTACTTCCATGAGAGAATTTATGGTGTGTTCTTCAAGACTGAATGGTGGTGAAAAACAAGAATTGCCTAACATTACATTTATCTTAGGTTCAGTACTTTGTTTAATTTGGGCCAGTTGTTTGATTTCATTTTCAGATCCATCCTTGTTACCTTTCCAAAATAAACTTTGGACTCTGGAGCTCTTGGATAATGGATTTTCCAATGCAGCATACCAAATGCATAAACTATTACTGGTCCACAAATTGGTAGCTTAAAAAAATTACTACTGAACAGAGAAAAAAAAAGGATACTAAATCTATGACATTATTTAGTGCTTGAATTTCTCTTTACTGGCCAATGGCATTCTCTTTGATGAACTGTCTTATTTCTGTGACTTGAGCAGTAAGTGGAAAGGCTAGGAAAAAATATTGTAGATCCTCATGCAGTTTTAGTAGACAGAAGAGAACCTGCAAGCAGAGGACATGGATTCTAGTCTCAGTTTAGGGCCCATACAGGTGGCCAGCATGAGGAGGTCACTTCACCTGAGATCCAGTTTCCTTGTCAAATTAATCTAAACTTATGTATATTATAGCATATGGCTTTTAGTAAGTACTTAATGTTAAGTGTTATTTTGGGGAAAATATTAGGATGACCAACACTATTCTGTAGTTGACTGGTAGGGCTTTTTTTCTGAGATGAATATAAGAGGAAAATCTATATGTCCACCCCACCCCAGCCTGATTCTACCTTCTTCTTAGAAAAAATGAGATGAAATACTAGAGAGAAAAACTCAATTATGGTGAGGATAAATACAAACTATATTTTATCCAGGCCTAGAAAAAATGAATTTGAACGAAAGTCGTTTACAATGAACGTTCACAGCTTTTATTAACAAATAATTTCATGTTCCTATAAACTTCGAGTTTTCAAGCATGGAAACTAACATTTTAGTTGTACGTACTGTAGGAAAATTTCGTACCTGGATTATGTTTGCTTTCATCCTCATTGACCAAGAATCCCATGTGGTAATTCCCTACCTGCTGTGAATAACTTTTCTCTAATTCACAAACTGGAGGATAATGGGTGACAAACAGAGTTAAGGATTTCACCTAAAGCAATGAGACATATAAAAAATGTTATTTTATTTTTATTTTAATGAAAACTATTCTCCAATTTTGTTTTGAAAAATTTCAAACTTGCAAGTACAATGAATATTCATATACTCTTTATCTAGACAATCAGTTATAATATTTTGCTGTAATTCCCCTTCCTCCTTCTTCTGTAAGGATGGTGTGCACTTGCGGATGAGTACACACACACACACACACACACACACACACACACACACACGTTTTCTTGAACCTCTTGAGAATTGCAGACACCATGACACTGCATGCCTAAATACTTACAATTCTGTCTTCTAAGAATAAAAACATTCCCCTATATAATCAGAATAAAATTATTACACTTCAGAAAGCTACCATTGACAGGTTATCACTATTTAAAATATATAATCAATTAATATTCCTAAAGCATACCAGTAATAATACATGTTCTTAAAAAAAAAAAAATTAAGGATTATATGGTGTACTTAGTCATGTCTCTGTATTTTCCATTAATCTAGAAACATTCCCCAGGTTTTACTTTTTTTTCTTTTATGACATTAACATTTTTTAAATATCCAGTAGAGTTGTTTTGCATAATGTTTCCCAATTTGGATTTGGTTGATTGTTTCTTATTGATCATATCCAGATTAAAAATTATAGCCAGGAATATTACTTGTAAAAATGTATTAATTTGGCAAAGAACACATACATGTAAGTCACATACTCTTTCTAGTACATCACATCAGGAGGCATATGATTCAGTGTGGCCCATTAGAGAGGATGCTGAGTTTGATCATCTGGTCTAAGTGGATATCCACCAAATTTCTTCATTGTGATGATACTCTAATTCTTTGTATTAAATCAGTAACGTGTGAGGTGTATGCCCAAATTATATAGTTTGGTAAAGAAATGACAAGCCAATAAAATACTGATAGGAAAAAAAGAATTTCCACTTAAAGAAAAGTTAAAAGTATTTAAAGTGGAAGATATATCATTATTAACTATGTAATCTAACTAAATGTTTAAACCAAAAACTAAGGGTTACAAAAGCTTTAAGGAAAAGGGATTTAATTTTTGCAACATAGTTTTTTTTGGCAAAAATTAAGTTTGATGGAATTAGAGTTGAAAAGTTTAACACAAAATTTCACATTGAGAAAGTCACCAAAACAAACAAACAAAAAAAGATGTGAACTAAAGGAGTAGTAATGTTACTGAAACAGAAAACATATCATAAAGGGATGCGATAAAAGGCCTTATATCGAGATCTTACAGGATACTGCTGAAGAAAGTTTTGCACAGAGCAAAATTTACACTATCTCCTTAGTTATGGACTAGGCACTTGATTTAGAGTTTTGAATGGGATAATAAGAGAGTTTCTGGGAGGAAATACTGCCAGGGAGGTCTTTCTCCTACTGACCAGGCTTAGTTTGCTTCAGCAAAATAAAGGAAGACACATGAAAGAATTACAAACAATTTTTAGGGTCCTTCTAATTTGAGTTCCATGGACAGCATTCCAATGAATAGTTGCAGGAATAGGGTCAAAATATAACAATTAAAGATAATCTTGAATATTTGGAAACTTAGGTCAAGAAAACAATTTGTATCAGATGTGCCATTCATGTACGAAAAAGTGTGCCATATACTTACATCACGAATAAAATGCTCAAGTGTCGCATAAGCAATGGCAATTCCATCATGGGTACTTGTCCCTCTTCCCAGTTCATCCAAGATAACCAAGGACTGTGACGTTGCCTTTCTTATTATTTCTGCTGTGTCAGTCAGTTCTTCCATAAAGGTACTCTGCCCTTTATATATGTTATCTGCAGCACCCATCCTACAAGTAAGATGAAGGCACCTTAATTTTCCTCAATTTTATTACTAGGAAATAAGGCATTATTTCATGAACAATAAATATAAAGGATCCCCAAGAGTGAGTATGCTTTGAGCCAAAAATAGCTGAAATTAAGTAAAAGATATGCTGGACATAAAAGTGAATGCCTAACATCAAACTGTACCTTGTAGAAGCATTCTGGACAGAATCTAAGGTATTTCTTTATTCGACAAAGTTCCTGAAAGTAGGAAAATCTCTGCTCCTGCCTTTTTTCTGACCGAAGTTTGGTCCTCAGCGGAGAAAACAGGTATTCCTATGTTTAAAATCCATGATGCTGGGATAGTGTAAAATTAAAAGGCTTTTTCTAGTGTTTCCTAAAGAAGATTCCACACTGATATTATAAGTTAAAATACCATATTGAAAGAACTTATTCACCTAAGATAAATTTTTTTTTACTAGGATTATAGATGCTTAGTATATTCAGACACCTAACACAGGTTTCCAAGATGGATTTCATGGAATGCAGCTCTTAGTGATACCAAGAAATGGGTCCAAAGATATAAGGGTTTCTTTCCTATAATATCTCCTTGAGCCTTTAATATTCCACATTGTGCATTTCCCAGAGAAGGAATTAATACATCTTATTTCTCTAACTCCTTTAACCACTGACTCCTGAAACTTCTCCATGACCACCTGTGACAATAATGGACCACACAACAGATTGGGGAAAAATGACTATTTAGCACATAAAGAATCTAGGGAAAAAAAAAAGTAATAATTAGGCAACATTCAAAGTTATGCTGTTAATAGCAAAACCTAGACCTTAGGTTTTCAAAACCCTCTAGCCAGTGCTTTGAGTGCTATAACTATTTTCTCAGCAAATAACTTTGTCAACTTCATTTTGCTACAATAGTTTTTATGTGACCTACAGAAGCATAGTATACCTTTTATTTCTGGGAAAACTCATGGTGAAATCTCTGTGGCTGGAGCTCTGGGACTGTAGTGTTTTCCCCACTGCTCCAGTAATAAATGAGGACGTTTAGAAATTGTAATAAACTATACCCATGATGAAGGTGACAAGATTTTATTTTATTTTATTTTTTTAACATTTATTTTTATTTATACAAGAACCGGGGTATAGGCCAGATGCGCTGGAGGGTGAGAGGATTCACAGGGACAGAATGGGGAACAGAACAGGCAGAGTGACGAAATACACTGCTGAGGGGAGCAGCAGGGAGAGAGGAGAGGTCTGCCACGCCTTGTGGGATTCTCGAGCCAGCCGGCTGGGATCCAACCAGCACTGCAGAGGCTGCGGACAGCTTCACAGCACTTCGTTCAACCACTGGTGCCACCAGGGAGGCCCTGAAGTTAAGATTTTAATCCAAGTGCATTGCATCTATTTAAATTCAAACACTTTTACTTATTTAAAACTATGGAGACATGCAGCAATGTTAAAATAAATAATTTTGGCTGTACCCAACCAGTCATGCATTGGCATCTATGTGTCCCTAATCAAACCATATTCCAAAATAAATTTACATGGATTTAAGAGTTAAACATAAAAATAGAAACCATAAACATTCCTAAGAGTAATGTTGAAATTTAATCACCGAATGTGGATGGTTGGTCTTGCATACGTAGCACTAAAACATGTCTACAACAAAAACCATGTAAGAGAAAGCTAAAAAGCAAATCACGCACTGAGAAAAATATTTTAACTCATGACAGAGGGTTAATAAACTCTCACAAAGAAACGCAAAATGGTGAACGTTCCAATAGAAAGGCAAAAGACAGTCAATTCTCACATACCATAGAAGCACCATAGAAGCTCCCAAAAATATTTCCACATTAAATCCAAACAGGAAATATTATATATATTATATATATAATTTATAATATATATAATTATACAGCCTCTGTATAATTTAACAAGAGAATGGGGAAATAAATCTTTTTAAAGATTTATTTATTTATTTATACAAGCACTGGGTACAGTCAGAAGTGCAGGAGGGTGAGAGAATTCACCAGAGCCAGAGCAGGGAGCAGAACAGACAGACCAATGAAATACACTGCTGAGGGGAGCAGCGGGAGCGGCAGGAGAGGTCTGCACACCATTTGGGACCCTCACCTGGTGGCCAGGGATCAAACCGGAGCTGCAGAGGCTGCGGGCAGCTTCGCAACCCAGAGCTCAACCACTGCACCACCAGGGAGGCCCAAGGGGAAAGAGTATTCTTACAAAAATGAGAATTGTTATAACTTGCCAAAGGCAATTTGTCAACATCTATCAGATACCTTTCATGACCCATAAATTTCGTTATAGAAATTAAGTGTGAAAATTATTAGAGATTTATGGAAAAACCAAATGCCTAAGAAAAAGAGTAAAAGCAGTAATAAATAATGGAAAAGTATGTAACCAATAAAATCGAGCAGTTAGAACGTGTGACATGGGAAAACAGTTACAACAGACTTTATGTAAAAACACTGGGTTAACTAAGTGACCCAAACCCAAAGTCATTTGATTCAGTGAGTGGGACAGGGGACTCAGCCAGGGAAAGAGAGAACCCGACACCTGAGGAAGTCAGGCCAGGGAATGTAATAAATGAAGTAGGGTTCCAATCAGATAAATGGGCAGCAACCAGAATTAAAGAAAAATGGAGGACAATTAAAGATAACTGACAATATGAAAAAGAAGTACTGAGAACATCCAACAAAACAACTACCACAGAGGAAATGGGCAAAATACAATTGAACACAATTAAATCAAACAAAACCTCCACTTGGTATCCTTATTGAGATTAAGAAATTGCAGATTTAGAGCATCCCCTGTGGCGCAGAGTGTTGAGCGCAGCGCTGTGAAGCTGTCCACAGCCTCTGCAGCACGGGTTCAATTCCCAGTCAGCCAGGGAGAAAACCACATGGCGTGACAGACCTCTCCTGTCTCGCCCGCTGCTCACCTCAGCAGTGTTTTCGATCATTCTGCCTGTTCTGCTCCCCGCTCTGTCTCTGGTGAATTCTCTCACCCTCTCACGCCTCTAGCCTGTATCCCAATTCTTGTATATATAAATAAATAAATCTTTAAAAAAAATTTCAGATTTAAAATAAGAACAACCTACCAAAAAGGGAATAGCTGGAGAAGAAAATATCTTGGAAATTAAAAATAAGATGACTGAAAAAAATCACCATACAGGCAAGGTTCAAATTAGATACTAGGGAGGATCAGGTTTTTAAAATCTAAAAGATAAACTCAAAGAAATCTCTAAGTACAGCAACAGATCAAGGAAAGGAAAATGGAAATAATTTTAACACAGGGAGGTCAGTACTGAGGTTTAAAGTCTGTCTAATAGGAAGTGCAGAGGAGAGAAACAACAAAGGCAATGATAAAATAGAACACTGTGACGCTTAAATAAGAAATGCATCTTCAAATGGCAAGGTTCACAAAATGCCAAGTAAAAAAGGCTCCCACCCAGAAACATTCTGGTGAAAAAACAAGAAATGTTTTTAAGAACCCCAGACTTGAGAGAGAGAGAGAGAGAGAGACAGAGAGAGAGAGAATGAATTATCAATAATGAAGGGAAAGCAAATCATACTATCAGACTTTATTTACAATGAATGCAAGACTGTACAATAACAGAACAAAGTCCTCAATTTTTAAGTTCTTAAGTTTATATTCATCTAAACTTTCAAACTCGGGCCCCCCTGGTGGCAGAGCAGGTTGAGTGCAGTTCTGTGAAGCTGTCTGCAGCCTCTGCAGTGCCGGTTCGATTCCTGGCCGGCCAGGGAGATACCCACATGGCAGGGCAGACCTCTCCTGTCTCGCCCGCTGCTCTCCTCCCTCAGCAGTGTACTTCGGTCCGTCTGCCTATTCTGCTCCCCACTCTGTCTCTGGTGAATCCTCTCACCCTCCCATGCCTCTAGCCTATACCTCAGTTCTTGTATAAAAATAAATAAATCTTAAAAAAAATAAACTTTCGGGGCCTCCCCGGTGGCGCAGCGGTTGAGCGCTAGGTTACGAAGCTGCCCGCGGCCTCTGCAGCGCCAGTTCAATCCCTGGCTGCTCCTCGGCCACCGGAGGAGGGTCCCACATGGCGCGCGCAGACCTCTCCTGCCGCCCGCTGCTCCCCTCAGCAGTGTACTTCGGTCCTTCTGCCTGCTCTGCTCCCCGCTCTGGCTCTGGTGAATTCTCTCACCCTCCCGCGCTTCTGACTGTACCCAGTGCTTGTATAAATAAACAAATAAATAAATAAATGAATAAATAAATAAATAAATCTTTAAAAAAAAATAAACTTTCAAACTTGATATAATGACAAAATAAAGCTATTTATGACTTTAAAAAACTTAGATAATTTTGCTATCATGAATTCTACATGAAAAAAACTAATCAAAGACAGGCAGATGAAAAAGAAAAAAGTATTCAAAGAAGAATGACATGAAATATAAAGAGTAATAGAAGGAGTGAATAAATCTAGAAAGAAATGAGAAGCGTTTTTAGACCAAGAAGCTTAGACAATTCCTCTATGAGCAACAAATCATCTTAAAGATTACATACTTTCAAAGTTCTCAAGTGAATATGTATGTGACAAACACATAAACCATAGTAATATAAATGCTGATTATTGGGTTCTTTTCATTTTTAAACTACCCTATGAAAAAGAACAAGAGATACTGCAGCAGTATAAATTTTGTGACACTGGAGATATAAAAGTAAGAAACAGTTTTAAAAAAATAGAAGGGTCTGGTGCTGGTGGTGCTTGGGGGGTCGTGGGGAGATGAAGAAGCACTTTCAGTTTCAATTTTCTGCCTTCTGTATTGCCTGAGTTTCTTTCTATCATGCCCCTGCTTCTGTAATTATAATTTTTTAAAAATATTATGTAATTATTATAGAAAAAATATAGAAGGTTATCAACATGTTTAGAGTAATCTTGTCTGGATACAGGGATTAATGATGCTTTTTCCTCTCCTAAGCACCTAGTAAAACATCTGGCACCACGATGGAGACTGATAAA